CTGTAGCTACTAATGAACAATATGTTTCGTTGTAACGTCAGTTATATTAGTATTCGTCTCAAAATATTTTATAATAATAACCTAAATATTGACTGTCGGTCGCGGCTAGTCTCGAGACTCCAAATTCTACTAGGATTATAATGTATAAGTGTGTGCCCAATCACAGGTGCTTTTCAATCCCTCACTCTCGATCCGATACGATCGGAGTGAGACAGGTGTAAGATCACGTGCATCATGACGCACAGTAGGAAAACACCATCAACTTCCTGTCTCCGAGCTGCTACTAAGAATTGTTTGATAGGAAAACCCAACAAATGTTTTGACCCGATACATGATTCGAAATCGTGATCACATGATCAGTAGTTGCTCTTAAGACCTCTAAAGCAATAAAATAGTCTAATTAGGCTATAGGAAATACTAATTTAGTTTTATCAAAGAAATCAAAAAATTCGATACACTCTAAATAGAAATTTTAGAGTTAAAAAGCTATTTATTTTTATACCTGGTACTCTGGGGCAGACTGTGTTTAGGATGGACTTGTAAAAGGATGTCATGAAGATGATGAGAGCCACTCTGCAGCGTATTATGACTACAGCACGGAAAGGCTGGCTTTACCAGGAAAAGAAAACGTGAAAGAACAGTATAAAGTCCCGCGTTTCGTGCAGTGACGGACGAGAATCGGAGCCCCCTTTTACGAGGCCGTCTTCGACTTCAAAGGTTGAAAACACATTTGATTTTGAATACAAATTTCTATGTACCATAGCGTTCACATACCAAAAATAAAATATGTAATTGTGGACTGTGCTGAACAGCACCTTTACTAACTGCTTCTAAAATAACTTTATTTATGTTTCCCCAAAATTTCCTTCGTGCTATTAAAACTGTTTATACGCGGGAATGACGAGAAACTTTATATTTACCGAGAGACTTTATATTTTAGTTCTTAGAAATAAACAATTTTTATAGAAAGGGGTAAACGAGGGGTCATCTGGCTTTCGTCCACCTGATCCCTAAAAAAGGCGACCGCTCAGACCTGTCCAACTACAGGTCTATTGCCATTACCTCCTTGTTCTCCAAAACAATGGAGTCTATTGTTAACTGCCAGCTCATGAGGTACCTTGAGGATAACCAGCTGATTAGTGATTGCCAATACGGTTTTCGCCGTGTTCCATCAGCTGGTGTTCTTCTGGTCTACCTAACTCATAGATGGCCGGAGGCAGTAGAGTCCAAGGCATTGGCCATTAGTTTGGACATTGCGAAGGCATTCGATCGGGTTTGGCAAAAAACGCTTCTATTGAAGCTCCCTACCTATGAGCTTCCCGAGAAATTGTGCAATTGAATCACCAGCTTTCTTGCGGATCAAAGCATCAAGGTCGTTGTAGACGGTGCAAGCTCCGATTGCAAGCCTATTAATGCTGGTGTTCCACAAGGCTGCGTGCCATCGCCAACGCTGTTTCTTCTGCATATCAATGATATGTTGCAAACCCGTAACATTCATTGCTATGCAGATGACAGCACTGGTAATGCTCTGTACACCGGCCGAGCCAATATTTCTCGGGAAAACGTCTCCTAGTACCGGAACACACTAAATCTAGTCCAGTTTAATCCTCAGAAGACACAAGTTTGCGCGTTAACCACTAAAAAGAACACCTTTGTCGTATCTTTTCAGTTTCAAGGCACTCCCCTTATTGCCTTTGTAGGGTTTGGTCTTTTCGTCAACTATACAAGGTGCAGGTTCGGCCGCACATGGAATACTGTTCCCATCACTGTGTTGGGGCTCCCCAGTACCAACTCCTTCCACTCGACCGCATCCAGCGTAGAGCGGCTCGAATCGTCGACGACCGAGTGCTTTCCGATCGGCTCGATTCACTGGCGCTGCGAAGAGATGTTGCATTTCTTTGCATTTTCTTTCGCATATACCATGGGGAGTGCTCTGAGGAATTGTTCAGATTAATCCCAGCCGCCAAATTTCATGAAAGCACTACGCAGCAAACGTCCCGATACCATCCACACCATATGGATGCTTGGCGGTCCATCACTGTACGTTTTACAAGGAGTTTTCTTCCGCGTACGACCTATCTGTGGAATAGTTTACCACCAGCGATTTTTCCGGACCGATATGACCCGGGGACCTTCAAGAAAAGAGCTTACTCCTTTCTAAAGGGCCGACAATGCACCTGCAATTCCCCTGGTGTGCGGTAGTCACTTAATATCAGGTGAGCCGTATGCTTGTTTGCCCTTTGTGCTATAAAAAAAATTAATAGAAGAATTAAAGCCCAAATTTCAGTATTCAATGTGTAGTGGAAACTGGCATGAAATACTGTCCCGTTCCCTTAAATACGCACAGCTTTTTAGAGGCCAATTTGACTTTCTCTTTCAAGTGACCACGAAACTACACACCACTCGATATGTCAACGCCTAGGATTCCGATACTGGCTGAGGCAACAAGAGGAGTGCCTTGAAATTGGGAAGATACGACTAGGGGTAAACGCACACTTGTGTCTTATGGGAATTAAACAGGACTAGACTTAGTCACCCTCTATCACAGAAATTGTTCAGCAAAGACTCAATTCAGATACAAGTTTATTCCGGTATTCGGTGACGTTTTCCCGAGAAATATTGGCACGGCCGATGTATAGAACATCACCATCGCTGTAATCCCCATAGCAATGAATGTTCCTGATTCGCAACATATCACTGATATGCAGAAGAAATAGCGTTGGTGATAACATGCAGCCTTGTGGAACACCAACATTAATCGGCTTGTAATCGGGGCATGCACTGTCTAATACGATCTTGATTCTCCGATCTGCAAGAAAACGAGTAATCCAATTTTATAATTACTTGGAAAGCCCATAAGATGGAAGCTTCGAAAGAAGCGCTTTGTACCTAACCTGATCGAAGGCCTTCGCTAGTCCAAACTAACCGCCAAGGTCTCCCCCTTGGACTCAACCACCTGCGTCCATCGGTGTGTTAGGTAAACAAGAAGATCACCAGCTGAGCGACCCCGACGGAGACCATACTGGCGATCACTAATCAACTGGTGCTTCTCAAGATACCGCATGAACTGGCAGTTAATGATCGACTCCATTATGTTCGAGAATAAAGAGGTGATATCGATAGGCCTATTATTGGACGGATCGAGCGGTTACCTTTTTTAGCGATCGGATGCAAGAAAACTGTCTTCCACGAATTTTTTGAGTAGGAGTACTGAAAAATTCGTGTTGGAACTGGTGCTAATTCTGGATCACACGTCCTCAGCGCAGTTGGGAGGATTGCGTCAAGCCCCCTCGATTTGTTGGCGTCTAGGTAGAGGAGTGCTTTGCGAATCAAACGCTGTGTGAACTGCACATCTAGCATGGAGCACACACACCGCGGGATGGTCGGCAGTGCGTCATCGAGTTGGAAGCAAAGCGAGATCATAGCAAACTGTAGCTACCTAATCTGCTGTAGGAAACGAGCCATGGGCCGGCTCGTGCAACGTGCAACGTGCAACCGCGAAGGCTGTCGCGTGGCTCTACCACTGTTTAAAGAAAATGCATTTGCGCTTTAATTCTTAATAGAGAATAGATGTGGGCGCCTTTGGGCCACAGTATCCACTTACCAACAGATGAGTTGTCACCCTTATTTATATAAAAAATTGAAGTGGAAATGCGAATACGAAAAATGGTCAAACAAAACGAAAGAACATTATTACCAAAAATGAAGAATTTTCAAAACACAAAATTAAATTTATTTTTATTATTACGACGACCGCTTGACGAAGACTCGTGGTAGCGGTAGTAGACCTGGTTCGATCCCGCCAACATCAATTAAAATTGTTGATTGCAATTTTAATCCTTGATTAACCACGTGCTCATTGAATAAAATAAATATCGTAAGGAATCATGTTTGAAAAAAAATATTGAGACATATGAAGTCCGCCAACACAAATAAGAGTAGCGTAGGGCAATCATTTCCTTGCCCTAAGAATCTTTTTTAGTAATAAGTAGAGGCCTATGGCACATTTAAATAGACATTGTTTGTTCGGCCTACGGAATCTTTGTTCCCTTTTTCCTTCTTTTATTAGTGTCCGTATTAGCAAATTCCGTCCCTCGAGAACATAACAAATAGATATAAAGAGTAATTCTCTAACGACTATAACTGTTGTTAAACAAGGGTGATGGTAGTCTGACGGTCTAGTAAACTGAAGCGGGAATCCAAATCGACTTCTGACGAAGGAGAAATGTTCTTCCGTTTCAGTATGATATATGCATTTTAGGGGTTTTAAAGAGTTAATAAAATACAGCAGGACCTCTGTAATCCGAACCCCGTCTAATCCAAACACCTCTGTAATCCGAACGCCCCCACCCGCACTTTTTTCACTCCCCGCAATCGCCGCGTCTGCGTCTCGCCAATTGCTTACCACCAAATGTCAAGTAGGTGTCACGCGTATTTGTTATTGTCCGCCATTTTGTGTTGATATTGCGTCACTCGTGCATCTCGACAGTTATTTGTGTTTTTACATCATGGCTTCGACGCCAAAGAAAAGGAAACACGTTACCCTGACTATTTCTCAAAAAATGCGAGATCTTGGATCAAATCAAGGAAGGTATTTCTTTTAGTTTTCTTGCGCTGAATTATGGTGTTGGCAAATCTACGATTTTTGATATTAAGAAGAAGGAAGAACAGATACGATCTTACGTTGTGAGAACTGAAAAGGGGCCAGGCGCTCGAAAGACTTTAAAAACGCCCGAAAATCCACAACTTGAAGATGAATTGTTTACGTGGTTTATAGAACAACGACGAAAAAACTTTCCCTTGTCAGGTGATATTTCTTAGATATTTGATTTTATTTAGAGGCGAAATACTTTTATGAAAGGCTTGGCCAAAGAGAGTTTTCTGCCAGTAAAAGTTGGTTGAAAAAATTCAAAAAAAGACACGGAATACGACAACTCAAAATAACCGACGAGAAGTTGTCTAACAATGAAGACGCCGTAAAACCATTCCAGGATAAATTCATGGACATAATCACGGAAAAAGATTTGTCCGCAGAGCAAAACTATAATGCAGATGAGTCTGGTTTGTATTGGAGAACAATACCAGACAAAACGCTGGCATCTGACTTAGAAGTTAGAGCCTCAGGTTCTAAAGTTTTCAAAGAAAGAATAACATTCATGCCCTGTGCGAATGCTGCTGGGACGCACAAACTGCCTTTATTGGTCATTGGCAAAGCACAAAAGCCACGTGCTTTTACATCTGTACGAAAGCTACCAGTACACTACATGGGGCAAAAGAATGCCTGGGTGACGAGACCTATATTTCTAGAGTGGTTTAAAGGATACTTTATCCCTGAAGTAAAAAAAAATTATTTAAGAAGAATCTACCTGCAAACCATTGATGAAAATTTCACAATTTTATACATGCTTCCCAATTGCACAGCTCTCATCCAGCCAATGGACAAAAACGTTATTCAAAACATAAAGGTGAATTACAAGAAAAAACTTTTTTTGGAATTGGAATCTGAACGTACTGTATCCAATATCTTTAAGAAGACCAATATTAAAGAAGCTGTTTTCTCATTGGCTGAAATTTGGAATCAGTTAAATGCGAACCTAATAAACAAATCTTGGTTACCCTTGTGGCCTCAATTAAACGTCGAAAAACATACAGACGATAACTTTGAACCCGAAGATGAGGTTCCCTTAGCTTTTTTCGTTAATAGAGGCTTTTCTGAGGCTGCAATTAATGACTTCTTACTAGGCAATGATGACCTAAATGAAACTGAACCTCTTACTGATGCTGAAATATTAAGGCAAGTAACGCAGGAATGTGACGGCGAAAGTGAAGAAATATCGCACGTTGAACCAGTAGCAAGCGTTTCCAATTCAAGCGCGGTGTCTGCCTTTAATACATGTCTTGAATGGGCTGACCAAGTGGACATTCCTTTGCCAGAAAAAATGCTTTTACGTAAATTGCGCGACAAAGCTTTTTATTTGTCATTAAATACCTGCCGATAAACTAAAATATTGGATTTCTTTAAAAAAGTTTAATAAATATAACGTTTATAGATGAATATACATTTTAAATTTCATAATATTATTAGTTTTATTCCATAAAAATACCCTATTTTTTGTACTATAATCCGAACGCTCCACGGATCCGAACGGGGGTTCGGATTAAAGAATCGAAATGAAATCGAAAATCGGAACGAAATTTTCGGGGTTCGGATTAAAGAGGTCCTGCTGTAGATCGCTCGGAATCGTCTTTTCATGGTCTATTTTCATCAGACAACTAGTGAAAGTACGTAATGGGGATGATGATAATAATTATTTCACCATACGAATAGCTATTATCAAGCACTAAAAAGCGCTAAAATTTCGCTAACCAGGGTATCAGCACGAGAAATGAAGTCATTTTGGATACTAATCCATCCGTTAATAGTTTTGGATTTCAAAATTCTTTGAGGAAAGAATTTTAAATATCACTTAGCTCCACGAAACAAAAAAATGCCAAGTTAAAACATTTTAATCTATAATTCTTAGACTTGATGAGTTTTCTTTCTAAACTTTTGCAAACTTGCCGGTTTCCTGGATAGTCATTTATCAGAATCCCAACGGATAAATTCTTCAGCGGAATGAGGGTTATGTTTTTAAGTTAAAATTTAGTCGAAACTATTAAAAAAATGTAACGAATAATGATTATAATAATGATCATTTGATGTATTTAGTGTTTATTTTAGCTGCAACAAATATTTTCTGCAATAGGAGTTATTTTTTAATATGGGTATTATTATAATATTTATTATCTCCATTTCTCTAATAATGAGTGAGACACCTATATTATATCTAATGTTTAATAATAAGAATCGAGAAAAACATGCATAAGTTATCTCAGTTAATCAAAACATTTATTTTTATCTATCGTAACGAGAAAACGAGTCGAGGATGAGCGAGAAAGTTAAAATTTATTTATAATATTTGTTAGAAATTCATAAAATTAAATAAAATGAATTATTAATTGTTCACATTCGTACATTCAATTTCAAGTACAATAGTCTGTGGTCAAATTGTAGAACAGATTGGAGAGTGTAGCCAAAGAATTTTAAAATGTTGCCAACAAGTAATTACAAATGCTGTATATAAATGAGCTGCGAATTTTGTGTAATTTCACATGTTCCTTTTTTAATATTCTTTGTTGTGTCATCATCATCATCATCATTACAGCCCTTCACAAGTCCACTGCTGAACATAGGCCTCCCCCAAGTAATGCCACAAAGCACGGTCCTGAGCCACCTGCATCCATCGACTTCCTGCACGTCTTACCAGGTCGTCACTCCATCTAGTGGGGGGTCACCCTACACTACGCCTACCGGTACGAGGCTGCCACTCGAGAACCTTTCTTCCCCATCGGTTATCGGTTCTTCGAGCTATATGGCCGGCCCATTGCCACTTCAGCTTACTAATCCGTTGGGCTATGTCGGTCACTCTGGTTTTACTGCGGATATCCTCATTTCTGAGTCTATCACGCAGAGAAACTCCGAGCATAGCCCTCTCCATAGCTCGCTGAGCGACCTTAAGCGTCCTCATACGGCCAGCAGTGAAGGACCACGTCTCAGATCCGTAAGTCATCACTGGCAACACGCACTGGTTGTACAATCTAGTTTTTAGAGATTCAGGTATACCTGACGAAAAGATATGCCGTAATTTCCCGAACGCTGCCCAGCCGAGTTGAATCCGTCGATTGACCTCTCGGTCGAAGTTGGACTTACCTAGTTGGACTATTTGTCCCAGGTAAACGTATTCGTCAACAACTTCGAGCATAGTGCTCCCAACAACTACCGGCATAGGTGTGACATGGACATTGAACATGATCTTTGTTTTGTCCATGTTCATCTTAAGACCTATCCGTTGGGAGGCACTATTGAGGTCATTGAGCATAGTGCTTAAGTCCTCCAGCGATTCTGCCATAAGGACTATATCGTCAACAAATCGAAGGTGAGTGATGTACTCGCCATTGATGTCAATACCGTATCCTTTCCAGTCCAGTAGCTTGAAAACGTCTTCCAATGCAGCGGTGAAGAGTTTCGGGGATATAACGTCACCCTGTCTTACACCTCTCTGCAGTTGGATAGGTTTCGAGCTCTGGTTCTGTACTCGGATAGCCATCGTAGCCCTACTGTACAAACACTTCAGCACTTCGATATACCGACAGTCAACTTGGCACCGCTGAAGGGACTGTAGCACCGCCCAAATTTCGACGGAATCAAAGGCTTTCTCATAGTCCACATACGCCGGGCAAAGTGGCAGATTGTACTCTTCAGTCTTCTGTAAAATCTGCCGCAGGGTATGTATGTGGTCTATGGTACTGAAGCCTTTTCGGAAACCGGCTTGTTCGGGAGGCTGGAAGTCGTCAAGTCTGCGTGCGAGACGATTCGTAATGACTCTCAAAAACAGCACGTAGACGCGGCTCAGAAGGGAAATCGGTCTGTAGTTCTTTAAGAGAGCGTTGTCGCCTTTCTTAAAGAACAAGACCACCGCACTTCTGCTCCACGCCTCTGGAGTAGTGCCACCATGGAGGACGGAATTGAAGAGCTTCTGAAGGACTTCAAGTACCGGTGTTCCACCCGCTTTCAGAAGCTCCGCTGTAATTCCATCCTCGCCTGGGGCCCTGCCGTTTTTAAGGTGCTGGAGAGCCATTCTAATCTCGCTTAGACTGACGTCCGGGATATCATCGGAATAGTGTCGGATAAGACTTGCTCTTGGATCGTTACTCACACTTGCGTGTGGCTCCAACGATGATGTGTACAGCTGCCCATAGAACCTCTCAATCTCACTCAAAATCTCAGGTGTCCCGGAAACGATGTTGCCACACTCAGTCTTCAGCCTTGACAGTTGGCTCTTTCTGGCAGATAGATCTCTGGCAAAGACTTTGGAGCCCTGGTTCCGCTCGATCGCTTCTTTAATACGAGAAGTATTAAAGTTGCGTAAGTCTCGCCGTATGCATTTGGAGATCTGTCTGTTCAGTTGCCTGTATGCTGTCAAATCTGTTGACGATTGCAGCCTCATCTCCCGTCTAACAGCCATGAGATTAAGAGTGTGATCGGAGAGTTTTTGTGTTCTTCTGCGGCGGGTCTTGCAGAACTTAGCTCCGACCGCATGGACAGTTTCCACGAGCTTGTCGTTCATATCGTCCACTGCATTGCAATCCTCTAGGCACTGGAAGCGGTTACGTAACTCGAGCTGAAAGGTTTCGGGATTCTGGATTAGAGCACGAGTGGGACGGAGCGTTGACTTCATTAGACGAGACCTCTCCAACTTAACGTTTAGGTTCAGTGTGCCTCTAACCATTCGGTGATCGCTGCCAGTTTTCACCCTTGCGATCACTGAGACATCACTGAACAGTTGGCGTCTGGTCGTCATAATGAAGTCAATCTCATTTTTTGTCGAACCGTCGGGGCTCGACCAGGTCCACTTCCTGTGGGGCCGCTTCTGGAAGAAAGAGTTCATCATAAAGAGTCCCTCTTTCTCCATAAAGTCGGCCAGCTGCTGGCCACTTCGGTTCCGTTGCCCTACTCCAAATTTCCCTACCTTCAGCTCACCGCTTTCTCTTGTGCCCAGTTTTGCGTTGAAGTCTCCCATCAACACCGTGTAGTAGGTTTTGGAGGAATGTATGGCTCTGGAAATATCCTCATACATTTCCTCCACCTCCTCATCGGGATGTGCCGAGGTTGGTGCGTAAACCTGAATTACCTTCAGCGAATACCGTTTGGTGATTCTGAGTATCAGGTACGCGACCCTCGTCGACACACTCCCAATCTTTACAACGTTGTTGACGAGAGATTTGTGGACGATAAATCCGACACCTCCTTGGGACAGATGGTCGCCCTCCCGGTGATAGAACAAGTTGCCGGACTCGAGGATTGCCGTGTCCTCCCCCTCTCTTCGGACCTCGGATAATCCAATAATATGCCAGCGCAACTTTTCTACCTCTTCTTCCAGCTCCAGTATCTTCTCGTCAGTCCTCAGGGTGCGTGCGTTATATGTTGCCAGGTCGAGTCGTCGTAGGTGGCAACCGAACCTCCACCGGAGATTCTTAGCACCCCCTGCCCCGCCGTTACCATGGTCGCCACCGTAGCCAGGAATAGCGGGGCCGCCGGGGACTGGGGGCCGTCTGTTTGTGTATTTATTCATTGGGGGGTATTTGCCATAGTTGCCACGCTTGGCGAGCGGGTTGGCAACCGCAGTTTTTTATTACGTCACAGTTGTCATCAGGAAGACGCTGCTGCCCATCTCCTGCCTGTCTCCCTCTGTCGCCTCTTACGACACCCACGGGAAGATATGGGGTAGTGGATATTCTTAACCGCCACTACACGGCTTGTTGTGTATTTCGAGGCAAGAAAAGGGTTTACTTTTTATATTGTGTACGATAGATATCTATGCCAGATATTTAAAACTTAAAATTTAATTAATTCATACCGTCGCACCACGACTAACGGCCGACCAATAGTCATTATTATTTTAATTTTAAATTTATGAGGTTTTACCTTAATATTACTTGTACATAAGCCTACAACACCTTTATACGTACAAAAGCTTAGCATAAGTTTTCTCTCATTCGTCTAACGCGCAAATTCAGTTCGTAGTAGCGGACTCGAAATATTTTATACCTTAGACACGTGGGATTCCTCACGATGTCTTCCTTCACTGCGTATCACGTGCTAAATCAGAACTAAAAATTGTAACTAGCCGGACCCGGCTATTTTTTTATTGGATAAGGGTGACAAACGGACACACAGTCCACCTGATGGTAAGTGAATGCTGTGGCCCATAGACATCTACATTTAACCTCGAATAAGAATCGAAATGCAGTTGCGTTGTCACCTTTGAGGCCTAAGATAGAATACCTCGATTCCAGTAAAACGGGTCTACGGGTCTCCGGTTCTCTACACTCGCCATACGAAACACAGCAGCATTAAGCTGCTATTTTACGCTGGTATTCTGTGAGAGCGTGGTCCTTC